GATCGGAGCGCCCTGCGGACAGAGGCTGCAGGGGGGAAGGAGCGGGTGGGGAGGCTGCCGCGAAGCAGGCGTTTATAGAGGCAGCAGTGTGGGAGGGTTCAGGCAGCTCCATGGAGCCAGTGCTGGGGGGAACTTGCTTTTAAGCCTGCTCCTCCCAGCACCAGCTTCTGCTTCCCCCCCCCCAGGCTCTGGTGTGTGAGGGGAATGTGAGGAGTGTCTTTCTGCTTCTCAATCAGGGTCTACATCCAACAGGTGGTTTTGGTTTTTTGAGGGGGTTGCTTCTCACTTGTGTGCAGCCCCCAACTGATTTTTCTGAGCGTCAGCTGCCCCTGACCCAGAAAAGGTTCCCCACCCCGGTCTACACTGTCAATTGAGAGAGAAAACTTAATTCCCAGGGCTACGTCTACACTGGCATGATTTTCCGAAAATGCTTTTAACGGAAAAGTTTTCCGTTAAAAGCATTTTCAGAAAAATCGCGTCTAGATTGGCAGGGTGGTTTTTCCGCAAAACAGCGATCGGGGCTTTTTTGCGGATTTCCGTGGCCACTCTAGACGCGGTTTTCCGCAAAAAAGCCCCGATCACCATTTTCGCCATCGGGGCTTTTTTGCAGAAAACGGCACTGTGCTGTCTACACTGGCCCTTTTGCGCAAAAGTCTTTCAGAAAAAGACTTTTGCCCGAACAGGAGCAGCATAGTATTTCCGCAAAAGCACTGATGATTTTACAGGAGATCGTTGGTGCTTTTCTGGAAATTCAAGCGGCCAGTGTAGACAGCTGGCAAGTTTTTCCGCAAAATCATATGATTTTGCGGAAAAACTTGCCAGTCTAGACACAGCCCTGGTGTTTAAACCCCCCTGAAAGAAAAGTTTTGCCCCAGCAAGGGGCAATGTAAACGGCTCCTTGTCAGAAGAACTGCTCTCCCGCCGACAATGGGAACCCCGCTCACAGGGGGTGGAATTATTTTGTTGGCAAATGTGCCAGCAAGCAACGTTTACATTGTCCGACTTTAAGAAAAATGGCCGTGCTGCTAAAAGCCGTTTAGCATGGACCAAGCCTCAAACACACAGCTTTTAGAACTGTGACTCCGGGACATAAGAGACCCAACTTCTCCCAGGGCACGGTGGGATTGTGGATGGAGGATTCTCTGCCCCGGGACAGGCAATGCAGGGTTCACACACAGGCCAAGAATCCCCTTGAGGCAAAACCCCAAGAGGCAAAATGCAGAAGGCCGCTGGCCCCTCCACAGCTTAGAGACTGGGATTGCATCTCCATGTGGGGGATGGAGAAGGAAAGGTGAGATTCACACTGGAGCACAACCTTCGGCCCTGTCCTGGAGACTCTTGAGAGATCCCTCATCTTGGGGACTTCCAACAGTCTAGGAGGAGAGGTTTGGCACAGGTCTGGGAGAAACGTTTTTATGGGACATGGATAGGCTGGGACTGGCAGCCCAGCTGGGCAGCAGGATGGGCTTCCCCTCTCTGCAGTGTGCCCAGACTCTCTGATCCTAGAATGGATGTTGCCGGACCACATAGCCTTGGTTTATAGAGATGCAACCTGTACTCAGCTGTATTGCAAGATGTGTAAGTGGCCAGTGTATATGTCTTAACATTAGGAAATTTTAAATAATTTCAACAAACTACTTTCAAATTTAAATGACTATTCAGCATCCATATATAGTTTAACACTAGGTCTATTAAACTTGCATAACAGTGTTTGATTATGGAAATCCTGGTGTTATGTCCTGTGTATATTGTCTGTCTCACAGGAAGCCCAGAACTTGATGGCTCTGACGAATGTTGACACCCCCCTGAAAGGTGGTCTTAATACCCCCCTCCATGAGAGTGACTTTTCTGGAGTGACTCCCCAGAGACAAGTTGTTCAGACTCCAAATACAGTGCTTTCTACACCCTTCAGGTAAAGCAAACTACTCAGAGATGGTAGAATAGGTAGATGTTCTTACAGTACTCTAAATAACAAGAGATCAGAGACGGTGTGGGGCCCCTACTAGCTGAAGGCAGTAACCTAGTGACAGATGATGTGGGGAAAGCTGAAGTACTTCATGCGTTTCTAGCGGAGTGCCCCAAAATTCGGTTCTAGGACCGGTTTTGTTCAACAACTTTATTAATGACCTGGATGAGGGGATGGATTGAACCCTCAGCAAGTTTGCAGGTGACACTAAGCTAGGGGGAGAGGTAGATATGCTGGAGGGCAGGGATAGGGTCCAGAGTGACTTAGACAAATTGGAGGATTGGGCCACAAGGAATCTGATGACGGAGTGCCCCAAAATTCGGTTCTAGGACCGGTTTTGTTCAACAACTTTATTAATGACCTGGATGAGGGGATGGATTGAACCCTCAGCAAGTTTGCAGGTGACACTAAGCTAGGGGGAGAGGTAGATATGCTGGAGGGCAGGGATAGGGTCCAGAGTGACTTAGACAAATTGGAGGATTGGGCCACAAGGAATCTGATGAAGTTCAACAAGGACAAGTGTAGAATCCTGCACTTGGAACAGAAGAATCCCAAGCATAGTTACAGGCTGGGGACTGACTGGCTAAGCAGCAGTTCTGCAGAAAAGGACCTGGGGATTACAGTGGATGAGAAGCTGGATATGAGTCAACAGTGTGTCCTTGTAGCCAAGAAGGCTAATGGCATATTAGGT